AGAGGCAGGCAGAGGGAGAGGGAGAAGCAGGCTCCCCGCTGAGCAGGGAGTCCGATGCGGGGCTCGATCCCAGGACCCTGGGATTATGACCTGAGCCGAAGGCAGCCGCTTAACAGACTGAGCCACCCAGACGCCCCGAGTCCCAGGCTCTTGATCCCGGGACCCTGGGATCATGACCTGAGCACAAGGTAGATGCTTAACTGACCGAGCCACACAGGCACAATCTGGGGCTATTTTAAAGCTGCTATGAACATTCTTGTACAACTCTTTTCATACACATAAGACTTTATTTCTCTTGGGTAAATACCTAGAAGTGAAATTTCTGGGTCATACAGATGATGTATCTTTAATTTTACTAGAAATTGCCAAGGTTTACAAAGTGATTGAACTAGAGTTCCAGTTACTCCACATTTATACAAATATTTTATTTTGTCAGTCTTTAATTTTAGCCATTTTAGAAGTTTGTGATGGTATCTTATTGTTGTATTAATTTGCATTTTCCTGATGATTAATGATTTTGAACACTTTTCCATGTACTTATATTGCCCATTCATATACCTTTCCTTGTAATGTGTCAAAGTATTTTGCTTATTTTTATTTGAGTTTTCTTTTATAAATGAGTTGTAGGGTTTTGTTTTTGGTTTTTTTAAAAATATATTATAGCTATAAGTCCTTCATGAGATATGATTATACAAATACATTCTCCTGGCACATGGCTTATCTATTTATTTTCTTAACCATGTCTTTTATTGAGTAGAAGTTTTAAAATTTTTATTATGTACAACTTACTGATTTTTCTTTTAGGAGTTAGCACTTTCTGGGTTCTAAGATATACTTGCTTACCCTAAGGTCATGAAGATATTTCCTGTTTTCTTCTTGAAGCCTTAGTTTTTAGCTTTTATTAGGTTAATAATCCACCACAAATTATTTTTTGAGAATAGTATGAGGTAAGGCATGAGATTAAAAATATCTAGTTATTCCAGCACATTTTCCCTTTCACCATGGAACTGTTGTGAAATCTTTGTTAAAAATCACCTGACCATATTTGTGTGGGTATATTTCTGGAATCTAGTCTGTTTCAGTGATCTATGTGTCTTGTTTACTGTACCCATACTGAGAGTCTTAAAATCATGGAGTCTCTGTTCTTCAACTCTGTTCTTTTTCAAAACTGTTTTGGCTATCCTAGGTTCATCACACAACTTTTAGATAAACTTTCCAATAAAAAGTCTACTGGGATTTTGATTGGAATTGCATTGAATCTATAGATCAATTTAGAAAGAACAACAAAACAATACTTAATTTTCCAATCATGTACATAATATATCCATTTATTTAAATCTCCTTTAATTTCTCTCAGCAATAAGTATCACACATTTAAATTTTAAGTGTTTGTTTATAATCTGCTCTAATTAGTGTGATTTATAAATCCGTGTAAAAGCCATACTAGGAAATTTCAAGATTGGTATGACATGTTGTTTTTTTCTTACAATCTAATAGAAGAGCAAAGTATTCTCATTACAATTTTGAAAGTAGAAAAACTTGAGTAACATTTTAATTAGAAGAGATGAAATATGTACACATTTAATAATAACACAAAGATAGAATATAAGAATTATAGAGGAGTCATACATACAATACAAAAACCAAGGGGAAAGCAAATTCAGCCTTTGATTTCTCTTAAACAATTAAAAACAATAGAAATATATTTAAGTGAATCTGTCACTTGAATATATGAAAAGCTGAATTCTATGAGATAGAAGAATTGGGAAAATAAAAAACCTTTTTATGACAACTTCTGCATCCAAGTTGGCATTCAGCATGGATAACAACTTTTTTTTTAAAGATTTTATTTTTAAGTATTCTCTACACCCAAAGTGGGAATCAAATTTACAACTCTGAGATCAAGAGTTGCATGTTCTACCGAGTGGGCCAGCCAGGCACCCCTATTTTTTTTATTTAAAATTTTCATTTATGAAGATTGCTTAAGTTACTTCATTAAATGATTGCAGCATTTAATAATCAATATAACCAAGCTAAATCCTTCAACTTTGATCTTTAATAAAAAATGGCTGGTCAGAATTCTCTTTACAATAAACCTTTCATAATGTACTTGAGAATGGTTAACTTATTTCTTTTTTTTATGTACATAATCCCAATTCAAAAGCTTTTCTTCATATTTTTAATTAATTTTTTGGATGAAGCTATTAAATATACACTAAAATATGATTAAATCAGTCTTTTGGGATACTTCCCTCCCTGTAATTTTAGATGAGAAATTAGACTTTTGATTGAAAAATAGTTATTCTTTATTATTTTAATTCTCTCTTTAAAACAAATGCATCGAATAAGAAATTAATATTATATTAGAACATCTGTAAGCTGAAAATGTTCTTAGCAGTAGTAATTCCTCCATAAAATATAACTGCATATATAAAGCAGTATCAAATCCACTCATATATATTAGGCTGTAAAGTATAATGGAAGATAGCACATCGTTTTATGTCTGGGCTGCATAAACATAATAGTTACAAAATGGGATAGAAAATGGCTTTGTCGCTATCGAATATGTGACTTTGACAAACTTATCTCAGTTCTTCATTCTCCTCTTTCAAAAAGGAAGGGAAGGAATAATAATACTCACCTCCACAGAACCGTTGTAAAGCTTAAATTATTGTTTGCAAGGTACTTTGTACAGTTCCCACCTGACAGTACTAAATTAATGGCAACGAATTCCATCTTATGGCACTAATAATGCTAAAATACAGTTGATCCTTGAACAACACAGGGATTAGGGGCACCGACCCCCCGCACAGTGGAAAATCCAAGTATAACTTTTGACTCCCCCAAAACTTAACTACTAAGAGCCTACTGATAACATAAGCTGTCCATTAACAAATATTCTGTATGTTGTATTATATACTGTATTCTTACCATAAAGTAAGCCAGAGAAAAGAAAATGTCATTAAGAAAACCATAAGGAAGAGAAAATACATTTACAGTGCTGTAAAAAATCCACATATAAGTGGACCCGCGTAGCTCAAACTGGCGTTGTTCAAGGGTCAACCAGATACTGCCTTATCTGGGCTACGCTGTGAGCTATTTAATTCGCTAGGCGGACTGAGAGAGGAAAGGAGAGCCGGGGGACCAGGCAATATGGCAGCTACCTCACAGCTCTCCCTGGATACTAAACCCCAGCCAGCATGTAGCAAAGTACGGGAGAGCACAAACTGCACAAACAACATCTTACACAGTGTTTTCTTTCGTATCCATTATTCATTACGAATTAACAGTAAAGTAATTTAAAAGAATTAAGGGTCTGGGGCGGGAGGTTGGGGGGAATTTAATGTCAATTTTGGAGGTTTTAGAATTAAACTGAGAAAGTATTTAACATATCACCTGTGACTGATTTTCAGACTTACTTCGTTATTTAAAATGACCAATTATGGTTAGGTTTAAAATACACAAGTGCAAATAAAAATTCAAATGTGTAACAAAAGCTCTCTCTTCAGTTCCTATAAAAAGAAAAAAGGACAAAACTAAATACATAAAATTATATTACAAATATCAGGGAACTTGAACCATCAACGGTGATTATCTTTTTTATATAGAAAAGTAGCAATCTCTTCCCCACATACATTTAATTAATATGAAATAGAACTACAACATATTACATAACATTTTTTTTTTTTTGGCTACTAAAGACCACAAAACTATTCGCCGTGAAGCATGTTTTGTGCAAAAATTAAAGACACTGTATTTGAACAGAGCAGAAAAGGAAAGAGGAATCATTAACAGGTACCCATTGTTAGGAATGGAGTTGTTTCCCCCCAACACCTAACCCACTGCCAGCAATGGGAGTGGAGGCAACGGGTGACAGAAAAATGAACATTTTATATTACTTTAAAATAGATAATGCCAGATTGTTTCAATATTATGAAAAGCAAACATTCACTCTTGATCATTTAGCAAGGACATGCCCCAGAAAATTCTATTATCTTCTCAACATGAATCTGGACAGAGGGATGAGGATGGTGCAGATGGAAGACTTAAAGAGAGAGAGAGAAAACATACAGAGGAAATACATACAACATTATGCATTTAGTACAAATAATGAAAAACAACTTTTATGACACATTTTCCAAGAAAAGTTATTTTTACAGGTTTTGAAATCCTGTAAACACCAGGTATATAGCAAGGGGTTAAAAACAAAGTCACTGATGAATGATAATCACTTTTTAACAGAGTTCATGCAATTATCTTAGTTGGAAAGTTACTGTCCCAAGTCACAAAATGTATGCTCTGCCACATGATTACATATGAAAATCAGTTCTTAAAAGAAATTATTTTGCATTTGGTGCTGACAGAGCTCTTGAGAAAGTGCTATACAAACTGAAGTTTATAGAAATTTTTAAGTGATAATCTTAAAATACCATACAAAAAATGTGTAAATGAAAAGATGCTTTAGAGTTGCAGGGCATTATAAAATCCACAATGCAGATTAAGACAAAAGAACGTCTCTTCTGGATTTAAAAAAATCATTAGCATAATCTTACAGGTTCAAAATTGCATTTTCAGTCAGCAGCAAAAGGTGCCAGGTGCACCAGCACACTTCACAGGACCCCAGGAACGACCACAGGGGCGCTGGACCTTTGGAAGGGCTCAGCCGGCACAAGCTCCCCATGCTCATGGGTGCACATGGGAGAAAGAGTTTGCAACAAGTCTCACCTGGGAGATACTCTATCATTAAAACGTTTATACTCCTCTTTTATCTACCCTGTCAGAGAGGAAAACTGCTTTTTAAAGATATTATAAACAATATAAATTCTGATAGTAAAGCACTGTAAAAATTAGGTATGATATTTTTGGCACAAAGCACTTTTAAAATCTGAGCTCATTTTGCAAAATACATGTGTGGAATTTCCTACTTGAAAATAAAAACTTTTAACATACACACAATGTGTAAATGATTTTATGAATGCATGAATTAGATTCTATGTTTCCTTACATACTGAACATCCCTTCATTATACTTCAGTACCAGATATCTGCATGCAGACCTCCACATTCTACATCATACAGATATTGCACTCAAGTAACATTGCCAAAATACACACCCATGCAGTCTGGCAAGACTTAGGGTTTACCATTCAGTATTATCTTTTTGTATGTATTTGGATTCAATACTACTTTCCAGAAAAGCTGTATGACCAATTTCAGACATACAATGCTTGCTATCTTTCCTGGACCAATAATATTAAAATCTGCACCAATATATTCAGGCATTCCATTTATGCTTTCCAGCACTTAAAATTCAGCAAAACCTGTTTTTGACATTTCTTATAGCATTCCTTCAAAAACAGGAGAAGCTTCGTCTGATGTAAAAAAATTAAAATGAGTCCACAAGGCAGTAATTTTTCCACCAAAGATCTCACTCCATCTGAAAAGCACTGCAGAACAATATTTAAGTCTGTCAACTTTCACAGAGCCATTAGGTGCAAAGTCTGCTAAAAAAAAAAAAAACTTGTAACATACCATGACAGCTGGATGTATTTCTTAATGAATTGCACAATAGAATTCAATTTTTTTCCTCCCTAAAATGTTTTAGGGTATGCTACAGCTGCTAAAAGGATTTCTGTTTTTCTTGGTCCTCTGTTTGTTGGGTCTAAGATTGATGACATCTCCACCATTAAGGGTACTTGAATTTTGACCCGAGTGACTTCCAATAGATGTATTAAAGACACCTGTATAAATTGAGGGAAAACACAAGAGTGATACTGATATAGCTCAGGGTTACCAATTACAGATGGTGCATCCAGCATCTTAGTAAATCAGTAATATTTTCAATATTTACAATTTTAAGCTTTGTTTTCATTTCATATATTTTTAAAAATTTTTTAAAGTAAATTCTACCTCCCCCCACCCGCTTATTAAGTAAACATGGGCTCGAACTCACAACCCTGAGATCAGGAGTTGCATGCTCTACCAACTAAGCCAGCCAGGTTCCCCACATTGAATTTACTTTTAATAGACAGTACACATTGTTTGTCAAAGTTCTAAGGTTACAAAAGGGATTAAAGTCTCCCTTTCAAATCACCAGTTTACCTTCCCTAAAGCATGCATGTTTTAACACTTTTCCCATGTATCCTTCCAGAGATATTTTATGCATATTTAAGCAAAAATGCACACACATTCTTTTTTCCTCCCTTAATTACCAAAATGATGATTAACTATACACACTGTTCCGCATCTTTTCACTAACAATCTATGTCTGAAATTTGGAAACAGTAAATATGATAATTTTAATAATTTCACTTACTATCTTTTACATCATATAATTTCCTCAAGCATACCAGATTTGTACTGACAATAATATTTGTGAGATTTTATGTTAATAAAAACACTGCATATGTAAAAGCTGCAGTAGTGCAGGATTTTCGTATCTCAGCTAAAACAACAACGAAATGGTCTACAGATAATTAAAGTGATAAGTAGGTAAAAGGATGAACTAAAAGAAAGCTTTTAACTGTTAAGAGTTTCCATTCTGAACTGTGCTGCTCTTAAACTACAATCTCTAATTTATAAACTACTTATCATCCACCATACACAAAAGTCTGGGCCCGCGACACTGTCAGCAATACAAAGATGACTAAGGCCAATTCCTGCCCACAACAAGTTTACAATCCAGGAAGTGAGGTGAGCTGGAATACACATAAGAAATACTATAGAGCGGGTCTGGGTGGCTCAGTTGGTTGAGCGACGGCCTTCAGCTCGGGTCATGATCCTGGAGTCCCAGGATCGAGTCCCGCATCCGGCTCCCTGCTCAGCGGGGAGTCGACTTCTCCCTCTGACCCTCCCCCTTCTCATGCGCTCTCTCTCTCTCCCTCATTCTCTCTCTCAAATAAATAAATACAAATAGTAAATTAAAAAAAAGAAAAACCTTCTAAAAAAAAGAAAAAAAAGAAGCGCTATAGATACTCTACCTTAAGTGTCATAAAAGAGACCCAAGATCCCACAGACAGTTCCAAGGAAGGACCAGTTATAGCTACTGTAGAAGAAAGGACAAGCTAATAAAAACGGTAGCACTGGACAGCTGGTAGTGCATGGGACTCACAACTCCCTTCGCTGAGAAGCAAAGCAGAGTGGCCTACGGCTCTAGCTAGATATATAGCGAGCAGATAGCTTTCCAGACAGTCCTTGAGGAATGAATAGGTCTTCGACAGGGATGGGAAAGAGAGACGTCATTCTTTTTTTTTTTTTAAAGATTTTATTTATTCATTTGAGAGAGAGAGCACAAGCAGGGAAAGCGACAGGCAGAGGGAGAGGGAGAAGCAGGCTCCCCGCGGAGCAGAGAGCCCGATGCGGGGCTCGGTCCCAGGGACCTGGGATCATGACCTGAGCCGAAGGCGGACGCTTAACGACTGAGCCACCCAGGCGCCCCAAGAGAGGTCATTCCTGATGGAAGAACCAATATAAGCAAAAATGAAGAAGACAGTACTAGAATGTTTAAGAAACAGCAAGACCTCTGGCAGAACTGGAAAACGGGGTACATAAATAATAGTGGGGCATAAGGCCACACAGAAGGACAGACAATATTGTCTTTAGATCTCAGAATGAAGAGAGCTGCATTTAATATTCTCCACAATATGAATCTATCAAAGGGCTTTACTCAGTGAACTGGAAGAGACAAGAATGGAGGCCAGAAGACCAGACCAGAAAGAAGCTTATTACAACTATCCTATCTTGTTTCACGGAGCATTTGAGGTGTCTGACAGTAAGAACATATGCAATAAAAATGGCAAAATAACAACAAAAAAACGGCCAGAACCAAGGGGGAAAAAAGTTAAAAGAGGTCAAGAAAATAAAGTTATGTGATCACATGTATGCAGTGGGAGGGTTGGGGACAGAATACAGATATGAAGTCTCTAAGAGACTACACAGAAGCTTTAGAAACAGAAAACTTGGATCTAAACTTCCTGGAAGCCAAAACAAAGAGCAAGACATGGTCAGTCATTGTTATAGAGAAGACAACATACTTATTCTTCAGGAAATGTTAGACTTTGCAGGCATTTATTTTTTGTTTGTTTATTCATTTATTAAGATTTTACTTATCTACTTGAGAGAGAGAGAGAAAGCTTAAAAGAGAGAGAGAGCACGAGCAGGGGGGAGGGGGGTAGAAGGAGAAGCAGGCCTCCCACCGAGCAGGGAGCCCGATGCGGGGCTTGACCCCAGGACCCTGGGATCATGACCTGAACCGAAGGCAGACGCTTAACTTACTGACCCACCCAGGTGCCTCTTTGTAGGCATCTAGCATTAAAAAAAAACAGTCAAGTGTATGGAAACAGTACAAGTATAGAGTCAGAAGAAAAAGTGTTAAGACCTCCTTTATTCATAGGACAGATCTTTATAAAAAGTCTTTATCTCTGCTCTCTTAATATAGGAAATGGATTTAGAAAATTCAATAGTTAAAAAAATCTTTTAACTCAATATACCTTTTAATCTGAGACCTGATACTAAGTTTAATAACTGCTGATCTAATACTTTCTAATCACATTTCTTAAAGAAATGAACATATCATATTAAAAAAAATAGTAGGGGTGCCTGGGTAGCTCAGTCGGTTAAGCGTCCAACTCTTGATTTCAGCTCAGGTCATGATCTTGGGGTCCTGAGATTAAGCCCCGCATTGGGCTCTGCACTCAGTGGGGAGTCTGCTTGTCTCTCTCCCTCTACCCCTCCCCCCACTTGCTCTCTCTAAAATAAATAAATCTTTTTTAAAAAAATAGTAAATATGGGGCACCTGGATGGCTTGGTCGTTAAGCGTCTGCCTTCGGCTCAGGTCATGATCCCAGGGTCCTGGGATCGAGCCCCGCATCGGGCTCCCTGCTCTGCAGGAAACCTGCTTCTCCCTCACCCTCTGCTTGCCTCTCTGCCTACTTGTGCTCTCCCTCTCTCTCTCTTTGTCAAATAAAGAAAGAAAATCTTTAAAAAAATAAAAAATAAATAAAAAAATAGTAAATATGGGTGCCTGGGTAGCTCAGTCAGTTAAGCATACACTCTTGATCTCAGCTCAGGTCTTGATTTCAGGGTTTTGACTTCAAGCCCTGAGTTGGGCTCTATGTTGGGTATAGAGCCTATTTAAAAAACTTTTTAAAAGATGGTTAAGAAAATAATGATAATAATGAATGGAAAATGAATTTACTAGGTAAACATGGGATTAAAATTTCTTGGGTACTTACCAATTTTGTTACTACTTGAATGCATTAATTCTGGATCCTCAGCTATTTGCTGTTTGAGTTTTTGAAGATATTTTTCAGCCAAATATTTAAAAACTAGAGTAAAAACAAAAACAAAATTCTTACCAGGTCAGTATAATTTATGCATGTAAAATCTGTTGTTTCATATCACTCACTGTAATATTGTATACTTGCTAAAAACACTTATTTATTTTTAAATATTTGTATTCTTTCATTCATCCTTACTAAACACATTTAAAATTAAATTGGAAGTATACAATCTAGTTGAAAAAAATTTAACTTTTAAAAATTACTTGAGCAGGAGCGCCTGGGTGGCTCAGTCAGTTAAGGGTTTGCCTTCGGCTCGGGTCATGATCCCAGGATCCTGGGATTGAGCCCTGCATCTGGCTCCCTGCTGTGCAGGAAGCCTGCTTCTCCCTCTCCCTCTGCCTGCCACTCCCCCCTGCTTGTGCTCTCTCTCAAATAAATAAATAAATAAAATATTTAATAAAATATCAATGTCAAATAAATAAAATCTTAAAAAAATTATTTGAGCAATACCTAAGTACAATAGTCATAATAAATATATATGGCATTTTATTAGCAAAGAAATGAAATAATACTTGTAGTCACCAGTTTTAGGTACTTGAATAGGGATCAACATTCAGCAACACTACACTAACTCAGTCTTGAAAAGATGGCTTTCTTTTTTTTTTTTAAGATTTTATTTATTTTTGAAAGAGAGAGAGAGTGTGCACTCGTGAGCACGAGCGGGGGGTGGGGGAATGGGCAGAAGGGCAGAGGCAGAAGCACAACTCCCCGCTGAGCAGGGAGCCTGATGCAAGACTAGATTCCAGGACTGTGGGATCATGACCTGAGCCGAAGACAGATGCTTAACCAACTGAACCACCAAGGCACCCAAGATGTCTCCTTTCTTTAGGTGAAAAAAACTATCCAGAAGACACTTGAGCAACAACCAAGTTGCAATCTAATAAAATAAGTAGCAGTTCTGGAATGAGAAAAATAATCAACTTTCTCTACTCTCACTCTCTTAAACTAGGAAATGTTACTAAACAAATTAAGGTCAGGGGGCCTGGCTGGCTCAGTCGGTAAAGCATGGGACTCTTGATCTAGGGGTCGTAAGTTTGAGCCCCACACTGGGGATAGAGATTACTTAAAAAAAAAAAAAAAGAAAAGCCCCCCAAAAAACAAAAAAACAATCAGGGGCGCCTGGGTGGCTCAGTCAGTTGGGTGCCCACCTCTTGGTTTTGGTTGAGGTCATTATCTCATGGGTTGTGGGACTGAGCCCCTAACTGGGCTCTGCACTCAGCAGGAAGTCTGCTTGATAATTCTCTCCCTCTGCCCCTCCCCTGCTCTCTCTCTCTCAAAGAAATAAATAAATCTTTTTAAAAACACACACACAACAACAATAAATTAAGGTCATTGTAACTACCTAATGGAATATCCACTATAGAGTAGTTCTTAAACAAGTCAGTAACTTTAAAAGGTATGCATGAAAAACACATACATGCATATACACTCATATGTATATATATACAGTTATATTTTTAAAGATAAAAAACAAAACAAAACCCACCCAAGTTTTTCTGTAGAGAGTAACAAGTATTCAGAGTCATTGGTAATTTAGTTAAGGACTCTAAGAAGTATCATGCCTCTAAATTTTACTTGATTGTTGACAAGAAAATTCTGTTATTACATATATGATTTCTGGAAACCACAATAGAAAAAACATAAGAACAATAAAACAAACTTCCTGCTATTAATTTTTTTTAAAAGGCAGTTTACCGGGCGCCTGGGTGGCTCAGTTGGTTAAGTGACTGCCTTCGGCTCAGGTCATGATCCTGGAGTCCCGGGATCAAGTCCCGCGTCGGGCTCCCTGCTCGGCAGGGAGTCTGCTTCTCCCTCTGACCCTCTTCCCTCTCGTGCTCTCTCTCATTCTCTCTCTCTCTCAAATAAATAAATAAATAAAATCTTTAAAAAAAAAAAAATAAATAAAAGGCAGTTTACCTTCAGTCACATTCAGATCTTCTTTCACTGATGTTCTGTAGAATCTTAGCTTTAACTTTTTTGCCAGTGCCTCAGCTTCCTCACTATATATTGATTAAAAAAAAAAAAGGCACTTATAAGGGTACTTTATGATAGTTTGTTTTAAAAAATCATTTTCATTACATTTACTGAATACATGTTGGGGGTGGGGGTGTCAGACCTTCCAGACCAGTTGAAAGCTATGTTCTTAGTGCTTAGACAGGATTTTTAATTTTCAGTATTCTTGGGGGATAAACACCACTATACTGTCATTTCTATATCACTAAACTCTAGCCTTAAAATGGCTAAATATCACTTTTCTTTATATAATACTTAAATTAACTTTGTTTTTAAAAACATTTGAATTTAATTGCACTCTGAAAATCTTACACTATATTCCTTACTTTACTCTTAACTGGCTATGAAACTGCTTTGCTGCCAAAGCCAAAGTCATTATATTAACAACCGTGTCTATGAGAGCAGACTCCTAATTTTAGTTTTATTATGACTCCTGGTCTTAGTTTTATTAAGACTGTAGTAGCTCTGCTCTATAATCATTCCCGGTGATTCCACCCCACCCCCCACCTTCCTCCTGGTCCTCACCTTCTTGTGTAGCCTCCTCCTACACTGTATTCAAGGTTAGTCTGTGTAATCAATAATACACAGAAGGCATAGAATGTGACTTCTGAGATGAGGTCATAAGAGACATTATGGCTTCTGCTTTGCCCTGTCTCGAATCCCCTGACTGGGGGAGGCCGGCTGCCATGCAGTGCCAACACTCAAGCAGCCCCAGGGAGAGGTCCACGTGGCAAGGAACTAAGGCCTCCTGACAAGAGCCAAGTGAGGGAGCCGTCCCGGAAGTGGGTCTTCCAGCCCCAGTCGAACCTTTACACGACTACCATCCTGGGCAACATCATGACTACAAGCTCACAAAAAACCCGAACCAGAGCCACCTGGCTAATCCACTCTCAAATTCCTGACCCACAGAAACTGAAATAATAAATTTTTCTTGTTTTAAGCCACTAAGTTTTGGGTTAATTGGTTATACAGCCACAGATAATATAAGAACATACAAAAAAATTAGAAGATAAAAACCAAGCAAAGATTTTCAAAGCTAGCAAATACATATAGACAGAAGTTATCCAGATGCTCTGTTCACATATTTGAACATAATGTTTCTTAATACACAAAACAATATGAATCTGAACTACTTACCCCTTTAAACTCATCAACATAGGATAGCTATTTGCTCTCGATATTAAAACATACAGAGATATTTTTCTTAACATTCTTACTATATCTAGATTTGCTTTAACATCAAGAGCTGGATTTGTGGTATAAGACTTAAAACTGGAATTCTACAAGGGCCTTCAAAATTTATTTCCTTTAATTTTCTCTACTTACGATTTCATGTGAACTTTTTTTTAAACCCAACCAATCACATAGCTCACAGAAAATTTAAGTATAAGGCAGTCTCCATAAAAGGTTTCCTGAATTTTTTAAATCTATGCAAAAATTAAAACAGGTTTTAACTTTATAGAATTACCACCTCCCCCTCAAAAGTGGGCATCTTACTTCTTTATACAAGAATCATCCAAGAGGTCAATCTTGTTCTGCACAAGTACAGATGGTACGTCTCCAACTTCAGCTACTACTTTCTCTCTCCAGCTGGGAATGGCTTCAAAAGATTCCCTATCTGTGGTAGAAAACACGAGCACACAAGCCTGGGCTCCTGTGAGGGCACAAAATAAAAATGTTGTTTACATTAATGAAGCAGTCCTATACGGGAAGAGAGCAACTTTTACCTATTCAAACAATTTTTTTTATTGAAGTATAATTAAGATACAATGTTATGTTGGTTTTAGGTACATCAGAACAATTTTTATGTAAGTGAATATTAAGCTCATCTTGCAGCACTCTGCTTATGTTTATTTTTTTCAAAGATTTTATTTACTTATTTGACAGAGAGAGAGCGAGAGAGGGAGCACAAGCAGGGGGAGTGGGAGAGGGAGAAGCAGGCTTCCCGCTGAGCAGGGAGCCCGATGCGGGGCTCGATCCCAGGACCTCAGGATCGTGACCTGAGCCGAAGGCAGATGCTTAACGGCTGAGCCACCCAGGTGCCCCTCTGCTTATGTTTTAACATATAAACTCTATTTTCCTACTCCAAGAACCAGTGGTTCTCAAAATTGTGTACAAGTGTCAAAGTACCCTCAAAACTATACATTCTTATTAACTAATTGTTAAATAAGAGCTTGGAAGAAAAAAAACCTGAACACATTCTTTTTGGAACACCATGAAATACTGCTGTATTGGATGTTACAAAAGCAAGAGAGAATGGTAAGCCAAGTATGAATGATAGGCTATTGCCAAGTTCTTCCTATTAATATCTATCATTTGCTTCTGAATTTCTTTTAGCACAGATTTAAGAAAAATCTATGAGAAAAAAATCATAATTTTCTCATTCTATTTACTTAAAAAAATCTTTATTATTTTAGTAGCAGAATATCAGTGATGTTAATGAACATAATTTAAGAATTACTGTCAAAGTTAAAAATATATATATATATTTAAAATAGAGGAAAAGGTTTAATTTTATTTTTTATCCTGTTTAACTGCATAATTCCCATGCTCAATGACAATATTTTAACTTTCAATTATCACATTAGGTTGATAATATCTAAGATTAAAAATAAGCAGCAACCTTCTGAAAGAAGCCCTTTGGTTTTATTTTATTTTTAAGTAGGCTCCACGCAATGTGGGGCTTGAACTCACGACCCTGAGATCAGGAGTCACATGCTCTACTGACTGAGCCAGCCAGGTGCCCCTGAAAGTTACTTTATAAATGATTAGATGTTGAATCAATCAGGCAGCATGGCGACAAAAGCAGATACATTGGCAACAAGAGAAAATCGCCTTGGGGTCAAGAGGATTTCCTGGAATCAAGGCACGTTTTCTTACTGTTATCCTTCCTTCCAGATTCCTCAGGTATAAAAGTTTCCCACTAAGACTCAAAACATACATACCTGGGCTACCTAAGACATTTGAAAGCCAAAAAAGGCCTGTGTACCACCAAAGGGAATATTGTAGTAGAAAGCAAGAGCATGAAAGAGAAAAACCAGCAATTCATTATTACTGTAAAAGCAGAGGCTTCATACGAGAAAATCTTCCCTACTCTAAAACAGGTTTTATTTATTTATTTATTTTAAAGATTTTATTTATTTATTTGACAGACATAGAGACAATGAGAGAGGGAACACAAGCAGGGGGAGTGGGAGAGGGAGAAGCAGGCCTCCCACCAAGCAGGGAGCTCGATGTGGGGCTCGATCCCAGGACCCTGGGATCATGACCTGAGCCGAAGGCAGACGCTTAACGACTGAGCCACCCAGGCGCCCCCTAAAACAGGTTTTAAACCAAAGAATATATTAATTACAAAAATTGTATAAATTAATACAAAATTGGGGCAGGGGACAGGATACAACACAGACAGACAGAAGCACCCTAACACTTTCCAGGAATTTAAGAAGAAATAAAACTGACCAGGGGTGCCTGGGTGGCTTAGTCGGTTGAGTGTCATAGACCCTTGATTTCGGCTTGGGTCATGATCTCAGGGTTGTGAGATGGAGCCCCGTGTCTGCCTCCATGCTGGGCATGGAGCTTGCTTAAGATTCTCTCTCCCTCTCCCTCCCCTCCAACTCTCTCTCTGTCTCTCAAAACAAAACAAAAAAACCCAACACTGACAAGATTACACTAGATACTAGTAAGTTTATATTTACTTGAACTCTAATATTTACTTCAACTGTAAACAAAACATTATTTCATTATACTTTGACTAAGAAACTTTTTTTTTTTTTAAGATTTTATTTTTAAGTAATCTCTACACCCAACGTGGGGCTCGAACTCACAACACTGAGATCAAGCGTTGCATGCTTGGGGCACCTCGGTAGCTCAGCCGTTAAGCGTCTGCTTTCGGCTCAGGTCATGGTCCCAGGGTCCTGGGATCGAGCCCCACATCGGGCTCCCTGCTCGGCGGGAGGCCTGCTTCTCCCTCTCCCACTCCCCCTGCTTGTGTTCCCTCTCTCGCTGTGTCTCTCTCTGTCAAATAAAAAAAAAAAAGAGTTGCATGCTCCACTGACTGAGCCAGACAGGTACACCAAGAAACTGTTCTTTATTATAAAACTCTATTAGCTTTAAACCTAGAATTTTATATCCAGTCAATTGTTCTCTGAATTTGAGGGCCAATTAGAGTATTTCCAGGAATACAAAGTCTTAGACACTTAAAAAAAAAAACCTCTTAGAGGAAGTATATTTTAATAATAATATATAAAAAAACTAAGCAGATGGTGCCAGAGATATGGACAGCAAGAATGATTAAGAAAAGCAAAATGTTATTTAAAACATCTTTCTTTCTTTCTAAGATTTTATTTTTAAGTAATCTCTACACCCAATGTGGGGCTCAAACTCACAACCCTGAGATCAAGAGTCACATGCTCTAGGAACTGAGCCAGTCAGGCATCCCAAAATGTTGTTTAAAAAATCAATGATCGGGGCACCTGGGTGGCTCAGTCGTTAAGCGTCTGCCTTCGGCTCAGGTCATGATCCCAGTGTCCTGGGATCAAGTCCCACATCGGGCTCCCTGCTCGGCGGGAAGCCTGCTTCTCCCTCTGACCCTCTCCCCTGCTTGTGTTCCTGCTCTGCTGTCTCTCTCTCTGTCAAATAAATAAATAAAATCTTTAAAAAAAAAAAAAATCAATGATCAACGGATAAAAGAAAAAGTATGTCCATAACAACTTCAAAATATTTAGTGGGAGACTGAGTGGGGAGAGACCAAAGGAATGTGGAAAAGTACTAAAGTGCCAGTCTAAAGAGAAGGAAGATGCACTGTTAAATATGTCTAAGCAATCAAGGGAGGTAAATAAACACAAATATGGGTAGAAACACCTGAATTTCATTGTAGCTGTGAACAGTTCTTGCCTGTTGTTAATATCCTCAAAGCATATACTGCAGGTGGCACTCAGATTTTTTTTTAAGATTTTATTTATTTGAGGGGCGCCTGGGTGGCTCAGTCATTAAGCGGCTGCCTTCGGCTCAGGTCATGATCCCAGGGTCCTGGGATCAAGCCCTGCATCGGGCTCCCTGCTCTGCAGGGAGCCTGCTTCTCTCTCTCCCACTCCTCCTGCTTGTGTTCCTGCTCTCGCTGTCTCTCACTCTGTCAAATAAATAAAAAAATCTTTAAAAAAAAAAGATTTTATTTATTTGAGAGCGAGCAAGCATGAGTGGGGGCAGGGGCAGAGTGAGAGAGAGAGGGACAAGCCGACTCCCTGCTGAGTGGGGAGCTGGACGCGGGGCTTCAATCCCAGGACCCCGACATCACAGGCTGAGCCGAAGTCAGATGCTTAACCAACTAAGCCACCCAGGCTCCCCACACTAGCTTTTCTGAATCTGGGCTTTTTCTGATGCTTTAGAAAGACTCTTGGGCTTGCCCAAACTAAAGGGAACTCATACCTCTGGGGAGAACTTGAATGTATGGGAGATGGGATAAAACCTCAGCCTCACTTTGGTGGGACCATCTTGAGGCATGGCTACATGGTTCCTCACAGGGATTGATTCCCCAATTGCCTACGGTAATAATTAGCTCATTAATGCACCCTTCATTGGTTTTTCTCCCTTTCTCCCCAGTCTCTCACTTCTTCCTGGGATCACCTACCAAATAAACCAGTCCCACCAAGTTGTGCCAAGAACTGTTTTGTGGATTATTTTTGCAGATATAATAATTCTCAGAAATGAGGGACAACAACTTGTTTTAATTTCCCCTAACTGAATATTATCATCTATACATATACAAATACTCTGTGAAATTGTGATGCATTATGGTTCTTTTCTGCTTAGGAACCTCCCCCTCCCCCCTCAAAAAAGCCCTAACATATACTTTAAAAAGTTAAAGACTCTTGATACAAAATTTTGAGTGAGGTACCAATAAAACAGATGACAAAAACCAGATTCCAAATATGTGTGGAAAGATCATTCTTTGCACAATTTGCAAAGGAAATGCCCATAAATCCATTATACAACTTTGGAACTCCCTCACAAGCACTTCAAGAAATTATTTTTTTAAGAATTGAGAAGAAGGGGGGCGCCTGGGTGGCTCAGATGGTTAAGCGTCTGCCTTCGGCTCAGGTCATGATCCCAGGGTCCTGGGATCGAGTCCCGCATCGGGCTCCCTGCTCCTTGGGAGCCTGCTTCTCCCTCTGCCTCTCTCTCTCTGTCTCTCATGAATAAATAAATAAAATCTTAAAAAAAAAAAAAAAGAATTGAGAAGAAGGGGAAAGGATTTCTTTCGAGAAAGTGCTGTCCACACCAACCATTCTCTCTCTCTTTTAAAAGATTTTATTTACTTATTTATTTGAGAGAGAGAGAAACAGTGGGGGGTGGGGAGCAAAGGGAGAGGTACAAGCAGACTCCCCATTGAGCAGGGAGCCCAACATGGGACTCCATCCCACGACCCTGAGATCATGACCTGAGCCGAAATCAAGAGTCAAACACTTAACCAACTGAGCCACCCAGGTGACCCCTTTCTCTCTCTTTTAAGGTGGGGTGCTATGGGGGAGAGTACTATCATTACCTCCTTCATCTCAATCTAGAAGGAATGGACCTCAGCAAGACCACTTAAGTAGCCTGGTATGTATTCCCAGCAACTGGGGGACACTCTGGACTGATGGTGCCTTGATTCAAGCC